GGATCACAATCTTTTATTCTACTTCCAAACAAAGTGTAGTGATCAGAAGTACTTCTTGCGTGATAGCATTAAAGAATTTTGCAGATCAAAGCCTGTCTGAAGTGATGGAGATTGTGACTACCCCCCTCCTCTAGATCCAACTTAAAAATAAAAGCTGTGTGTGTAATGAAAACCAAATTGTCTGTGTCTCTGCCAAAGAAAAAAGAAAACCCAGAGTGGCATTTCCTTACTCCGGACCTGCGGCAACTGGCCTCTCTTGTAATATGGAAAGTCAGTGGTGGGTAATATCAGAGTCATGGAAAAGTGTTTTAGTCACCAGTGTGCACACTGTTTCAGAAAGAGAAGTTAGCTGTTGGGCTCTTTACAGTGTTTAGGACAAGTAACATTGTGAGCTTTAACCTCAAACAACCCTAAACTTGCTGTGGGTGTCAACAAGACCCTTCTTCCTGCTGCCTTTCTTGGTTAGTAGCAGCAGCAAGCAGTCCTGCAGCAAAGATGACAGCTAATGGCATCAGTACCCACTTATGGCACAAGAGCTGGCTTCAATTCAGCTCTGACACTTGTTGATCGTTCAGGAAGGTCAGTGCAAACCTGTGAATCCAGCTATGAGCACAGAGTTCATCTATTGCTCCTCTGTACAGGAGGAAGAGACCACTTCCTTTCTATATCAAAATTATATTATTTTATATTTTATATAGCAGTAAGTCATCAGAGCTAAGGCCTGTGTAGCAAAGCTGGTGGTATCTGCTTCCTTGTTTTAGTAGAGATGTTCCACATGTGGCTTTTTTATGCAAGGGTTTTTTTTTTTTTTTGGTGTTTTTTTTTGTTTGTTTGTTTTGGGGTTTTTGCGTTTTATTGTTAGTTTTTTTTTGTGTTTTTTATTATAGTTTCTCCTGTGGGTTCATGGCTTTTACACAGTTGTTTTTACAGGCTAGTGATCACCAGTGTGAAACAGTAGAAGGAAATTTTGAGCCCGCATGAAGTGCTGTGAGATTTGTTACTGTACACTGCTAATACTTATACATGCATGTAAAATTTGAAGTTTCTGTCTTCAGCCATTTCAATGTCAAACTCTGTGGGAAGCATCAGGACTGGTAGATTAATCTGAGATTTGACTTTGGATTTTAGGGAGGTTCAAGTAGCAATTAAAATAAACCAAAAGTCTGAATTTGAAGACTCAGTTCCTCTCTGATTTCAATACATTTCTGTCAGACACACTTTACATTTGACCCCTGTGTGCCAAGTGAATAAATTCGATCCAGTCTTCCTGAATTGGGGAAATCTTCACTGTTGATCAAAGCCCTTTTGATGCCTTGAGAGGGCACCTCTCAGAACAGAGGCTAGAGAGAGTTAAAGGAATAAAGGATGTATTTAATAAGAGGTCTTCAGGGGACACACCTTGGGCAGTAGAATGTAGGGGGATAGAATATAAGAAAATAAAGGTAGTATAGAAAGTAATCTTACCCCTAAAGAGTCGCAGCTGAGCCAATTATTAAAGATTAGGAGCAGGCCTGACTTTACCAGGCCACAGCTGTAGCCAATAAGAAGAGTGTTATAAAAGAGTGGATTGGTTAGTTCAGGGGAACTGGAGTCAGTTGGCCACTGTGAGAAGGAAGAGTCAGTGCCTAGAGGAGCTACCTACAAGAAACATCAAGGAGGTACGAAACTCTTACCATGTGGAGACAACAATACGGAACCTTTGCAATACAATGACAAAGGTAGAAGAGCCTGGCCAAGGTTATACCCAAGACAGATGGTGTGTCACAAGTTTTCACACTTTTATAAGTTTTGGTCCATTTACATATTGGGGTTGATTTTCCAGTTACAGCTTCAGGTAAGGAAGTCCCATCCTCCTGGTTTCCTCTCTTCAATTCACTGTTGTTTACACTTTTTGGGCCTGAGGCTGTAATGGTGTCCTTGGTTCTCAAACCGGAAAAGGATTCCTTAGTCTAACTAAACTGTGAAGAGAACTTGCTAAGGCTTTATATGAAGTTCAGAGTTATATACTAATGCAGCACAGAATCTGGAAAATATGAAAGCTAAAACTTAAGCCATCATTTTATCTACAGCCTGTCTTTCTTCAAATCACAGGACAATGTAGGTAGGGGAAAATATGTATATATTCACACAAATGTATATATATATATATATATATATATATTCACACTGGCCCTGCAAAGACAGATGCAAACCTATAATGTTTGAACAAAATATCATGAGAAAGGATTAGGACCGTTTTAGCTGAAAGAAATGGTAAATTACTTGGTTCAACTTCCTACCCTAAAATGTCACGGCACTTCCTTTCATTGCATTTTGGTTGTGATTCCAAGTCCAGAATAACACCCTTGCTTGTTCCGTTTTAACTAAGACTGACTATTGTTTCCATACAGCGCAAAAACAAGAAGGAAGCAAAAAAATAGAAATTGATGTGTACATATATCCATGTGATGTGTACATATCTGTGTGTATAGAGACATAAAAGGAAAGCAGGCACTTGGAATTAGTGAGCTCTGATTTTTCTCAAATGTTTCTTGAATGATGACAGAGGTGATGGCTCCAGCATTACAGAAGCCTGGGTCTCCCAGACATATCTAAATGTATGCAACCTATGAGACAGCAGTCTAGGCCAAAATATATGCAGGCTGGCACTAAATGGCATTGAAGGAAAAACAGAATATCTAACACTTAACTCATAGGAGGCTTTGCAAACAGCATAATGCTACTTAAATCATCAGACCACTGTTATCTTCATTTCTGAATGCTGCAAATTACTTTCATCATCCACTCTCCTCCATTCACTACAGGAGAAAGAAGTTGGAGCCAAGCTTAAAGAGGCAGTTCACTTTTAAAAACCTTGGTGGGCTGACTGCAGATCACTTTGGCAAGAGATTTTTAAACAGTCTTAAATTTGTCTTGGCCCTTTGTGCATCTAGTTCGGCTTTTGGCAAAGCTCTAATAGTAAATGAGGATTTCTTCACTTTCTGTCCCAACTGCTGTGAAATTTTGCTGTAAAATGAATTAAAATTGCAGAAATCCATCCAAAATGTGGTTGAAGGGAATATAGACTCCTGCACAGAAAAGGAAAAAGCTTTTTCCTCTCTACAGAAGAAAAAAGGACACATGAAACTATTCAGCCCCAGCCTTGCTTATGCAGTGCCTGTTGCAGAAAGATAACTAAAGCCGTCTTTGTTTTCTCTCATCTGGTCTATAGAAACATCATGTGTTTTGCAGCTCTGGAGGGCTATGGAAGAGAAGCTGGAAAGTGAAAAGAAGCCTCCATAGTACTACTTTTACCCGGCCTATTTCTCTTCTAAGGCGGCCGAATGGTCCCCTTCTGATGGAAGGAGAGGGAAGGAAGGAATAAAACTGCAGAGAGGAGAAATGGAAGATCTTTGCACAGAAAACACTGTTGACCTTAAACTGACAAAGTCTCATCCATTACAGGGAGACCAGTACAGCCATTTTTCCGTGCCTAAGCTTGAGAATTTTTCTTATTATCTCTGTTTTCACTTCCTTTCTTTCTTTTTTTCCCCTGCATTACAAGAGATAAAATCATGATCAGAGCTGTAATGTAGGCTTATAACATTTTGAAGGAAAACATGACATGCATAAGCACATTTCTTTCATTAAAAGATTTGATTGCATTTACTTACATGAAATTGGGCTTTCAGAAACTGCTGGATCTCATTAAGTCACATGTTATTTTTATGTAAAGATTTCAGTGCCATCCTTTGAGAGTAGTCTGTTTACATACAATATTTGATATATTTTTTCTGTATGTACTAGGTGTCTGACTGTGCTGCTCATCTTTGCAGTAAGTGTCTTACAGCAAAAAGCAGCTTCTGTGGGACTTCCTGGAAGAAAAGTTCCTAAGGTGTGCATACATGTGCAAGTGTTTGTTTGTGTGTACACAAAGATTTAAGAGTGAACGAGCCAGTTTGTGAACTGGCTTGTTCAACTTACATCCCACCATCTTACCTCCTTTGGTAGCCAGCTACTCTCTGAGTAGATATTTTGGCCTCAGAAGAACTCCTATGAGACTTCTTAGCAGCAACAGCATGGGTAGGTCAAGTGTCTTCAACTGAATTTGGAAAAAAAAAATAAATCCCAAACTCCCAAAACAATCAGAATATCTTTGTGGAAACTAGAATGATCCTGCAAAGAAATAAGCACCCCATATGCACACACATATCTGGCTGTGGTGATCTTCCAACAACATCTTAAGCAGCTCTACACCACATATGGTACCAGAACAGCTGACATGCTGCAGATATCTTGAGATATGGAAGAAAAATTCAGTATGATTTTCTGTGTCACCATGCCAGCTGGCAGTGTCATGGTTGCAGAGTTCACATATGACTGCAATTTTCTGTAATGACAGTCCTTTCCTACTGTGAATATGATTTAGAAATTATTCTAGCTGCAGTAAACTCATTTAGGGAAATTTGAGGGGCACTGGCAGACGTGCAGGCACATCTGCCACAGCCAGTGGCTTCCTTCCATGTGGAGGGGCAATCAAAATCAGACTCCTCAGCATTACAATCCCTGTGGTACATTAGCAGGTTAGTAGAAGTTTATGCATTCACTAAGATGTAATATTAAAGAACCTCTGGCTTTAATGAGTTGACTAGTCAAGGGATTTAACTCAGCCAGTAATACCAGCCAGCAAATCTTGCTTACTTGTGTTACATACCTCAGACCTACCTGTGCAGGGCCTGCTGTCTTCCCATTGCTCATTTTGTGATTGCATCTACTCCATAGTAAAGTGAAAAAATATCTCATGTGATAGACAGCATATTTTGGGCTCACACTTTAGATAATCTGATTTGAAGATATAACATGTATGGACTCCCCTACAGTGTCAATTTTTAGTGAATCTTGGCCATACACACACACAAACATGCACCACCACTAGGAGGAAACCAATTCCAGACCCTTTAACAGAAACATTGCTGACAGCAGGTACTAGAGAAGAGGCATTAACAGCACGTTCACTTTGATCATGTTGATAGTTCAATCTCTCTTATCCCATGGAAATTCCAGTACAATTCTTTCTAGAGCAACATAGTTAGCAAGGCACCCTTAGGTATGAGCTGCCACGGCCACACAGCAACTGGAACAACTGGACACATCAGAAACACATCTCCACTAATACAAGAACTTTGCCAACAGAAGAGGTCAGAGGGAGAGGGGTAGAACCAAAGTGCAAAAGCAGATGAATTGTCATTTCAAAAAGCAAAAGCACAAATTCTGTATAATGTATGCCATTAACAGTGAAGAAAGTGCATTTTCAGTGATGCAAAACAATAGATCAAGTTCTAATATATTTGTGAATGGCAATAGTAATATCAGCACTTTTTGGGACAGCCTGTCCAAAAAATATTTTGGCTGCAGTACAGGTAGAAAGTCCTATGGTATGGCATATACATACAGACCAACAGCAATAAATCACATAGAAGTACACACTAAGAATCAAAGAGGGGTGGGAAGGCCAGAGGCAACAAGGGGCTTTGATTCTGTGCATTTAGAGCACCTTCCAGTGTAAAGACATGTACACAACTAAAGACACCATTACAAATGAGAATACCATTACTGAGAATATCAGCATGAAATGGCTAGAGTTGTATATTACAGATCTCAAAGCCAAAGAAATCCTTTGCACAGCAGCACGGTGAGAATTCTGTAAGTTCTTGGGCTTGCCTTCTGGATTGTTATATATCTTTGCTAAAATGCTGTTGAAGACATTTGGATACAAAATCCCTATTTTAAACCCCAATTTTTTTAATAGACAACTGGAGAAATAAATTGGTGATCTGAATGCTCTGTAAAATTCCATTACACTGATTGCAAATCCTTTCCTACATATAACAGCCAACTCCCTTACAGTGTGTGTAATAGTGAGGGACAATTGTGTTGTTACTGGAAAACAAAGTTTGTTCCTTCAGCAACACTTTAAAGATACATAAGTCTGTCACTTACATTGTAAAGAAAAATCACATAATGGAAGTGTACTCTGAGTTTGAGGAATGATATGCAGAGGTTTTGAAGAGAATTATTCTCCTCTACTCCTTCTGCCTCCAGCAGAGGGTCTGAGTCAAGCCAATTTTGTAGCCTCCAGGTGGCCTGCTCTGACACATATGCAAGTAAGAGCTGAGTGATTCTTCTCTGTATGCTTCTACCCTGCCATGCTCCTCCATAAAAAGGTCTGGCAAGATTGTGGCTGTATGTGTTGGCATGAGGGAGAATGATGCTTTTTGTTAATAAGTACCAGACATCTGATTCCTAGTGACATCTCCATTTCAATGGGCAGCTGACTCTGTGTCTCCAGGGAGTTACTAAGACATGCAATAAAGAGAGACTAATTCAGAGTGCAAGTAATAACATATATCTGCGTTGAGACTTCAGACAGGGTATGGAGGAGTAAAATTATTAAAACCTATTTCAGAAACAGGCTTACAAAGCTCACCACTTCCACTGGTGACACTAGGATTAATAGGAAGGTCAAGTAATGTTTAGATCATTTGTGTTTTTTGCACAAGTATGTGTATATGTGTAGATTTCCTTGTCAGAAACAACACAGCCCAATGGAGCTTTTCCCGCTATAGCAAATAAGTGAATAAAGCCTTTACTGTAGTTCAATAACCACAGTTACAGGAACCAGAAAAGTTACCACAGTCACCACAGCTTTTGAAGAGAATATTTAAACAGTGACAGTGGCAATTTTCTAAAGTTAGGCTTTCCAACTAGCCGTCTGCAGACCAAAATCACCAGTTTTGACACTTTTAGGCATCAGAACCAATGCCTAAAATTAGACTGACACAGAAAATCTTGACAAAATGGACTCATCCTTGACCTATTCGTTTATTTCAAAAACCTTCTGTTCATTAAACTTACATACATCAGGGAATGTTGTTGGTATTTGATCCTTTCTCTGTGATTCAACAATGTGGTCTATGTAAAAGTCAACCAAAGAAACTGAAGGGAACTAAAGAAACACCTTCACTGACTAATCAAGGGAAATGCTTTTGGATTTACATACTTCAAACAAAAGTGCATCACAATTTCTCAGAACAAAACTGCTTAACTTCACCATAAAGGTAGTTTAAACAAGTGTTTTTGCAGTCAACAGTGACTGAAGTTAAGAACGACATTTTTTTACAATTCTCTCATATTACCCTTTCCCCAGCATTAGGCATTCAAAGCTGGTCAGCTGTTTAGGCGTTTAAAAGGTCAATTTGCAAGGTATCTTGGTTTGTTAATTTCCATAGTTAGACAGAATATTAAACCATGTTCCAAATTTACCATGAATCATGTCTAACTTTTCTAGTGCTAAGGAAGCTAATGGAGAGAAATTTCGAAATTAGGGCAGTCAAATTTATAGAACCCTTGATTTTTCCCTTGAGCACACAGATTTTTGTCTCTATCTAAACTGTATGAATTTTCTTCAAGATTTTCTGTCCTTGTATCTTTTCCAGCAATAACTTTGCAATAATGTCTGAGTAAGTTTTGATGAATTCCTGATTTGCTTGAAATCTTCATGTATTGTGGGATAGACCTAGAAAGGACCAGAAGTTTAGATAGAGCAAATTATTCTGAGTGTATTTTTAGCCAAACAGACAGCCACAATGGCATGATAAATTGGGATTTATGGCTCTAATGCCTGCTCACTCCAATATTCGCAAGCCTGAACTGCTACCAATACTACCACACAGCCTATTGCTCAGAACACAGGGCCTTCTGTTTTCTCTCTTTTCAAAAACAAAGTTGTGCAGAGGAAAGAAGAATAAGGTCCTTAAAGGAAGGAAAAAAGTGTGAATTCTCAACATGACTGGAATAGATCAATAGATCACTACAAATTAAGCACATTAAATTTTCCCTATATTGCCACATATACAATTCACTAGGACAAAAGCCTATACTCTCTCTGAAATCCTTTTTACATTCACATAAGAAGATGTGCACATTAATGGATCCCGGGATGATTTTTGAAATTCCTTTGAACATACTATGTTTCTCCAGAAGAAGAAGAAAAGTTGCCAGACAAGATCAGGCTGATGTTGAAGAAGTGCCTTTTTACTCCTTCTGACCTAGACACGCTGTTTAAAGGTAACATTTATCATCATAACTGCACTGTGTACCCAGCAACAGCCTAACGAAAGGTGCAAAAATTCCAGGATGAAGGACACTGTCTTTCTGGAAGTTCAGAGCCTGGACAGCATCCATACCTCTTTCACTCTGTGAGAAGGAACAAGCCAGGCTCTGTGCATGTCATTCAGATGGCAAACAATACCAAGTCGAGTGGTGGCAACACCAGAGTCGCAATGCCATGTGTCAGGATTTCGGGCACCATCGTGATCATATCTGGATGCAATATTTCCCTTTTAGATGCAGCTTGTTGCCAGAGTGCAAGTAAACTTCATAACTGACTGCCACGAGTCAGTCCAGGAGCAGGGAATGAGCAAGTGGCTCAGGCACTCTAGTCTAGGAGAAGAGTAAAAAAGGAGAGTGGCTGCAGCACTGGGAGCAGTGGTGCTTGTTCTCCTGCCTTGAGTGAAAGTAAACAAGTCCATTGATATCTGACTTTGCCAAACCTCAAAGTATAATGCTAGAAGGAAAAATAAGCTTTACAGAATTGAGCATATACAACTCTTTTCTTCCCTTCATAAATTGTATGTTAGAGTAGCTGAATCTACCAAAGTGTTTACAGTATGCTATATATATAATGGCACATATAAGCTTTGTAAAGGGTTTGGAACATCTCAGAAATGTCTCTGGTGCTGAAAAAGGCTAATGTATTACAAATCATATAGTATTTTAATTCCAAAAAAATATGTTTAGGAATTTTGACCTAGCATTAGGGTTAGGAAACTGAACGAGGATGCCATGAAGCATGACTGACAAATCAGTCAAGCTAGTCTGCTTCAGATACATATTGTGCAAGGCATTATCACTGCGATCAGTCACAAAAAATGCATATTTAGTTTTTTTACATTAAATACTACACCTGTGAACCTATGTAAAAGATATACAAAATATAAATGTCATTGGGACTGTATATTTCAAACTTTTTAAAATAAACACAAAGTATATTTATATATATATATGTAGGCATATAGGTTGTAATTTCAATGTCAACACTAGCACAGTTTGTCTCTTCTAAATACAGGCCAGTATACTTCCTAGTCCAACACATGCACCTACAAACACATGATCATGCATACAGCTTTACGTTCTGCTGTTTGCAGAAAAGTCAGAATATACAGCACTATACATTGTTTCAACTCAAAATTGATCAACAAATTAAGAAAGATGCCATTCAAAAGAAATTCCTCGTGAACTATTAAAAAAAAAAAAACCCAAAACCAGAGAAAACCAGGGATATCTCTATTTCATCTCAATAAAAACACTGAAGACCATGGTGATGATGACCTAAGATTCAGAATGCTTTGTCCAGCATGTGATGGGGGTCACTCTTGGACAAAACACAACAGTGTGGAACTGGTTGCTACGACACATACCAAACACAGTCATAGTGAGGCAGAGAGCTTTCACAACACCATCCAACCCAGCTCTGGGTTCAGACTACTGAGGTCTCTGACCGAAAGGAGACAGAGTTGTACACTGTTCTTCTCACAGCAGGCGGTGCTGATGGGGATCTGGATGCCCATCTGGAAGGTAGGCGTCGATTTGCCGGCCGAGCGGGACGGGAGAAGCCCTTCTCACTGGAACATTTCACTGGCACACATATCTGGAACACAAAGGCAAGTCCTCGCTTTAACGAGTTGCAGCTTTTGTGGAATGCAGCGGGAATGGAGGAGGACATTTGCGGTGACCTCAGAACAGGTGGTTGGAAGCTATTAAAAGGAGCACAGCAATGCACAGAATGCAAAAGAACAGCTATTTCTATGTACAGGGATTCTCACATCAGTTGTGGTTTAAAATACATGAAGACAAGTGTCAGACACAAGGAAACATACAAAATTATAGTGCAAGACAAAATTGACATTTCCTCTTATCTTTTAGTTTCTATAAGTTTTTTTTTTGTCCATGAATGCTGTAAAATATTTCAAGTGTAGAACTCAGAATACCATATGATATTACTGGAGTAGGATCTACATGCTTCTCAGGTATTTTTTGATAGATCCTATTTCAGGAAACTCTGTTTCCATTAGTTCAGTGTGAAGCTGTTTAACTTGGTAACTAATTCAGAATGGTTATGTGTTCATACAGTGTCATGTCTACTGGCAGATCCATAGAGATGCAGAGGAAACTCAACAGATTTTGATCACAGTGACACTGACGTAAATTTGAAATAATGAAAATAAACCCAGTGCCTCAAGCCACATGTAGTTCTGTACATCTCTGAGACATTAAATAGTAACTCCTGGTCAGGCAATATTCTACACTTAGCTTTTACATATGGAAATGACAATGTAAAATGTAAGATTATGAAAAAAGTCATTATTACTTTTCTCCATATTAATTGATGAAAATTTGTTTGCCTGTCAAAAGTTTATTGGATGAAAAAGAAATCAGAAGCTTCACAGCTTTTTTATTTCTGTGCTGAAGGAAAGATGTGCCTGTTAAGCAAGGCATTGCATCATAGCAAGGCTGTCAGAAAGACGTGCAGAAGAAAATCTGCATGGTCAGATTCTCAGCTGCTTAAATCTATATAGCTCCACTGAAGTCTGTGAATTTGTGCCAGTTTAAGGCATACCAGCTGACAGCCTGAACCCATTTAAGTTTCCTAGCTCAAAACACACCTGCCTTATCTTTTTTGAGATTCCAAGAGGCATATCTCTTTGTGTTCTTTGTGGACTTTTACAGAACATGCAACTTACAGAGTGTTTTCCAAATCATCTGTTTGTCTTTTCATTAAGAAAGAATGTTGGCAAAGGCAGTATTTCTAAACTTCTGAAAATAAACTTCAGTCAAATATAAATTAATTACCCATGCCATGCTCTTCTGTTTCTGTGAACCTATGCTTGAATATATAGGAGAAGCTGGAACTGAGACATGAGTAAGAGAAGGTTACTTTGTTAGTGGAAACTTTACGGAGTCACAATATTCCTTGTCATAGGCAGTTCCAAGGAACTCCTGATCCAAGCAGCACGCTGGATACTGAAAAATGTTATCTAAGACCTCCAGGGTTTGGGGCATGGCCAAGTCTGCTTAAGCCCTATGGGAAGTCTTATGACATAACACATCAGCTAAAGGAAAGAGAGAGGGTGTTAAAACCTGGTTGAAGCTCTCACTAGTTCAATCTTAGCATAACTGCACTGTAGTAAAAAACTAGCTTTGCAGAACACCAGCAGGGATAAGAATCTGGCACATCTTCACTACTCATTCTTACTTACATGCTTCTGCCCTCCCACAACTCTTAATCTGCAGAGGAAATGCTCCTGATTCATCCAGATCCTGGCCTAAAGTATCTATTTTTACATAATTAGTTACAATACAAAGTTAGTCTGCCCCATTTAAGAGTCTGAGGCTTGCTATGAAATGGAATTGTTTTGCTTTTGTCATTCTTATGAACCTTACCTCTGGTAACTTCTGCCTCTCTTTTCCTTGCTTGAGTTGCTGCCCAATATGCCTGGCTGAATTCCTCGGAAAGTCTTGTTTTTCTTGCTCAATCTGGAGCATTTCTAAATACTGACTCAGTGCCTCGCAACCCCCATTGGTGAATTCAGAATTTGCCTGTGTCCTCTTATCTTTGCAGCATTTTGCATTACACTGAGAAGTCACAGTTGATTTTTCATAGGTTTTCAAAAGCTTTTCAACAACACCATAGTTGGACCTTGAGTCAGCTGAGCGCGGGCGGCCGGATAAATTACTTGGTCTCCAGTCATGCTCGTGAAGCATGTGCCTATAACCACTGGTATTTGGAAGTCCATTCATGTGTTTTTGCTGCCCTGCTGTCCTGACAGCTTTGCTGGTGCTGTTAGTTTCTTGCTCCTTTGCTGCAGAGAGCTTGGGATTTGAAACACAAGGCGTATTTACAGTTTCTGCCCTGCTAGCAGCAGAGTCACACAGTGGATCGCAGGGTTTGTGATCTTCTGAGGCTGTTTGAGGCACCTGATTTTCCTGCAGAGCATTGTTACGTTTATCTGTGTGAAATACAGTGCGATTAAACTCATCAATCTTTGCTGCTAGCGTTTCATTTCTTTGGGTCTTTCCCAAAGGATAACTGGTGTCCTCCAAAAGATCATTGTGCGAGGTAGCAGGGGCATAAAAGTCATTGCTGCAAAAAGGGCTGCTGTGAGACTTTGTGTTTTGTTTCTGATGCATCTTGTTGCTTTGGGCCATATTTCCATCTGAACAGCTCTTTTGGGCTGACAGGGGGGAAGGCTCATTTTTATTGTCTTTTCCAAGCTTGCCCATATCATATGCCCATGTGTTGTGGCAGAAATTTGTTGGAACGTTGCACTCATTTTTGGTTACAGGTATTGCAGCAGTTACCATTACAGGGACTTTCACAGCCTGCCCTTTATTTGCACAGGCTACTGCAGATTTATTTTTGTTTACAGGTGAAGGATTCCTCAGCTTCCCCCCATTCCAACAATCCTGAGCCTTGCAATTGCTTTTGATGCCTGGATCTCTTATGGGGGCTTCTGAAAGCTGTATGACTGCAGAAAGTGAGTTTGTTAGGTGCCGAGAAGTGCTCCGTGGAGGAACTGGTGGAGCTTCTTTCTTCTGCCAAGGTCTGAAATCTGTTCCTATGTCACCAGTAAAACTACCATAAGAAATGTCCTTCAAAGCCCCGGTGGAGCTCATCAGATTCTTCCTATTATTATGTTCCTCTGTTTCAAAAGCAACCGAAGTCTGTGATTCATTGCTGGACACATGGTTCATCTCAGGCAGGATAACTGTCTTTTGGGTTTCCTCAAATTCCCCCAGGAAAGGAAGTGACTTCATTCTGGAAATAACAGAAGAGGTGTTTTAGGAATGAGAATAAGGAACATTCCAGAAGACCTCAGCATGGATTAATTCTCCCCAGAAGCAGGTGTTTTAATGCTGGCTACTTAAAAATGTTTGGGAGCAGTTTTGCTGCAGCTGGTATACCCAGCCCAATCGAAACACACACAAAGATTTTGAGGAAAGGTCAACAAAAGGAATTTGCATTCTTTTCCTTTGCCACTATAATTCTTTTTCTGAGTTTCTTAGATGATGACTGTTTTCTTGTCTCTGCTACAGTAAGTACAGTAGGATCTTGTTCTAATGACTCCTAGGAGTCTACCTGACCATGAACTGAGTGAAGAAAGCTGTAGGACACAGTGCATCCCTTGTTTAGGTTCATAACCTTACACATGAGATCGACCTTTTGATATATGATAAAAAAGCATCTTTTAAAGTTATGCATCAGCTATGAATCCATTTGCTCTAAAGATACAAAGAGTAGCTAAAATAATGAATTAGTGGCAAACTTTTAACTGGTCACATGGTGGAGTGTGAGAAATCCCTCTGACCTTTGGGAGCATCTGAGAAGGTTCAGTTTTACCTGAGAATTTCTGCACAACTCAAGAGGCAGTCTGGTGTTTAGCTTGCTAGAGAAGACAATGAACACTGAATTTTTACCAGATGATTGAATGTTTACTTGCCATACTTTTCATGGTCTGACTTGCCATCTTTCCATTAGTACAAATGTATAGTGGTTCTTCCCTCTCCTGCTTTCTTTCTGCTCTTGGATCATCAGTTCCTGGCACATCCCCCATGCTTAAGGCTAGATTTGGGCTTTAAGTGAGAAATTCCCAGCCTGACAAACCCATACAGTGTTGTATAAAACTACATTGCAATGGGACCAGAGTAGACAGAAATATCTGTTCACTTTCCCAATCCTCTGTACAGCCATTAGAAACAAATACAATTTCATCTCATATACATACTAATCTGAATTTTTATGTTCTGTATACAAAATCAATTCTGCTAGTAAAACCTGCCTTTGTACCATATTTCAGCATATTTCATTTGAATATTTTATGCTGAGCACTGAAACACTAGGAGGGTAGGAACTGCCCAACTAATAAATCCAACAGCAAACCTGCCTTCAAAGTGAAAAACATCAGGAGAATTATTAATTTCCTTTCTCTAACATAAAAAGTCTAGAGATGTTTTTACCTTCTGTGATTGGACTTCTTTCGAATTTCCTCTTGATAGCTGCATAATTCTTCACTGACTCTGGCAAGTTCTTTAAGAGCCTTTATAAATATAAAAACAGGCCTTTAATATAGACATATAAAATGGTATCTCCAGATTTAATTTGAAACTTGTGGTCATTTGCATTTAAGATTCAGAGCAGAGGAAAGTAGTATGAGGAAAGATACAAAAATGCCCCCACCTTATGAACAGAGGTAAAGAGCATGCTGTTAACACATTCAAACAGTGAGAGGACACTCATTGATAGCAAACCTAGGAGCAAGTAGAGACAGTGACTTGTGGAAAGCTAAAATCAGGGAGATCAGTTCTTTAGCTTAACCTGGCAGGCCAAAGTCCTCGGTGCTTTCCTTCCCCCTTGTAACAGAAACATGCTCATTACTTACTACATTGAGATCACCAATATAATTCTTTGTATTCTGCTCAGAGGTTTTAATGGTGAGGCTGTCTTCAGGTTCTTCGTGGTTCTCAAAGGCCAGATTGTCCACTAACAGAATATTGTTTCTGCTCTTGTTTCTGGGCTCCTTCCATTCGTGTCCTGTTACACCAAGCAGGCTCCCTTTCTCCATTCTGTCCTTTGCCACATTGTGTTGATGGTTCAGCTCTGCTGTGTCACTCTCTTGCAAAGTAGGGCAATGCATGGACAGCTGCAGCATCTTGCTCTGAATGGCCTTGCTATCATGGATGGTCATATTGCTCTCCCTTCTAAGTTTTACCTCCTGGTAAAGCTGAAATGACAACAGAACCTTCTATCAAATCATGGTATTGTAATGAGCTTTATGGCAAAGCCCCCATATTTATCTTCTGTTTTGAATGATGCTTCACTCAGCAGCACTGATTAGAAAGATTCTGGATGTGTTAGTAGGAAAGTGCTGAGTCACCAAGTGTGGCAATTCAAATACCAGGATTGCCACAGGATAAGGCTATTACCATTCTCAAACTCTCTGACATAATTTTAATGTATGGCTTCCACTCCTGGTTGGGACTGGAAGAGATCTCCTGAGACAACTGTCCCTGCCTTGAGCCAAAAGATGCAGGGTTGTTTTCCAAGTATATCAGCACACTCTGTGGTGGACGCAACTGTTATCTGATGGACAGGGAATGTGGGGGAATGTGACAGAGAGAGAATGTTCTGGCTATGCTACAGCCTATTTATTAAAGCATATTATTTGAAGGAGAGGAAGTGAATTCTCATAAAATACAGTGCCATCTGTACTAGAGCAGACTCTTTCAGTTCTCACACAAGTGGAATTCTTCCTTATGACTGGAGTGATAAATCAGTACCGCAGAATGGTACTATTTGGCAATGTTCTTTCATGCTATCTGCTGAGATCCAGTGGATTCATTAGTAAATGGTGTTAATTCTGGTCACCCAGCACATTCAAACTAGGAACTGTGGTAAATTATAAATTAGAAAAAATGGCAACATCATAAAAATCTCTTCTGCTTACAGTATAATTTCCAGTGCCAAGAATCCCACAGCTCTGTATAAACATTCATTCTCAACTTGCTCTCATGAAGAAAGCACACAGGCACCTCTGAGCAGCCATCTGCCTGCCCTCTCCCAGTGCACAAGGCCATCACAACAGCTTTTGGAAGGGCAGGGGAAAAGAATAACAACATGCAGAACATGTGGCCATTTCATGGGCAGTGCTGTGGATTAAGAAGTATTCTCACGTTCAGGGACTTAACACTTGACCTCATCCTGGGTTTTCAGATTTCACTTCCAAAGCCCAGCTGCTCATGGAAACTGAGGGCTGAACTTTGCCATTTCCAAGAAATAAGAGCCTCATATGGATTCAGCATACCAGTAACAAGGAAGGATACTACTCCACAATATCCCCCATAATAATACCCCTATTAAGTTAGGCTTGGTGGGCTAGAGAAAACTGCCAAATTAAAATACAAGCTGATAAGTAAGTACAAGTTTTATTGAGGAAATCCTTCTACGGATAATGGCATTTAAAAGATATCTATCTCTCCTTTTCTCCACCCATGTGCTTGTGGATAAGAAATGTCAGGCATCTGAAATCAGCAGCAGCTATAGTCACAACTTAAGAGGGGACCTTAGGATTCCAGTAACCTTGAGGTATTATCTGTATTTTGTTTGGCCCTGCAGTAGCCAGCAAATTGCTTCATTCTCTTCCTTTCTGTCCCATTCTACTCTTTATCTCTTTTTCTTGCTTTCCTAATCTCTGTGCTAATAAAGAACACGATGAAAACAGTCCTTACTGATATTGTCAGTTCTACTAATAGCCAGAATAGCTTTTCATTACTGTCATTCCAAATCAGCTCTTATACCTAAGAAAATGAAATTCAACTACATATACAGATCACATTACTAACTTTTGAAGCATTCTCAGCTTGGCAGTGAAATTAGGGAAGACTGCACAGAAAAGTCCTAACACAAAAGACAAAATGTGGCAAAGACCATCATACTGAAGTCTGCAAGAATTGTGGGCAAAATATAAGAGAGCTGACATTATGGAGCTCTGCTGCAGGCTGGTTTAATGGGCAGTGTATGGCTGCAGTTCCTTTGGCTTTGACCATTTTCCTTCTCAGTTTCATGTGAGCAATCTCTGCCATACATTCCTGTGCTGCTCAGCCACACGACAGCGCTGGCAGAGAGCAAGTGAAACCACTCCATGTGTATATTAGATGAAAAATGTGGAAAGCTCACTAATGAAAAAACTTGCATCCACAGGCTGCCAAGCAGACTCAGTTAATGCATTTGAGAGTGTCAGAGGGTTTGGCTGCAGGGACAATTTGGGGATAAAAGAACAATAAATAATTGCTGTGACTATTTCTGGAAGGAGATGCACTGCAAATAGCAAGGACTGTTTGCTAGTATGTGTAAACACAAGCGGTTTCAGAACTTTCATGCTATTTGCTGTACCTGTTTTTTCTCCCAAGAGTCATCCATAAAAGGAACAGGTTCTAGAAAAATTCTGTGTCATGCAGTATTTCATATATATATTATTTTTAATATTACAATTTGCCCCAGCAGACCTGTGCCACCTAAGGCCTTTTTGCTAGAGAATTATGATATCTAAATTTTTTGTTACAAAATATGCATTTTCTAAACCCCATATTCAGTATTCACTTGAAAAAAGCATGTGTAATATAGGCAACATGGCTCATGCCCATGACTGAATTGTTAGCAGTAAGTACAGCCAATAATCTCACAGCTCACAAAGCCACATTCACCTCCTATCTTATTCATGACTATTAAACAAGCAATAGCAAATACTGCTTAATCCCAGGATTTTTATCCTTCCATCAGCTGTTAGAAACTTCCAGTGACACATAAGGAATAGGATAAAATACAGAAAAAAACTTTAAGTGACTCAATGTCACTTCACACCAAGCAAAAATGGTAGTTTGGATTTTTGTTTAGAAGTACCTCTTCTATTTTCTTCTGCATGAGCTTCCATTGACATTCCCATTCTTTCCTTTCATTGTCAAATCTCTCCAGCAATTCCATTTTTTCTTTATTCCAGTTCCTCTCAGTATTCTCCAGTTGTTCATGCAGGTCCATGGCTAAAGTCTGTGCAACAGCAAAGACAGCTCTCCTTTTTTTCTTTCTTTCCTGAATGTTTCCTGGAAGTTTAAGAGAATAAGTCTTACTTATGTTTTATTCTATCTTTCAGGGAACAAATACAATCAAGAAAATTCCCAAAATTACTAACTGAAAGGAGCTTGCAGGGCACAGTACTATTCAATTGATATTTGTCTGGAGTGTGACTCGAGTATGGATGAACTAAGCATTATAGGACATAAATACAAAGGCAGAGATGCCCAGTCTGGAAAGGGGAGGTGGAACACATTCAGCATCGCAGAATTCAGTAACATCTGCCACAGCAGGCTCTGTATCACGATCACTTTGCCTCTTTTCCATTTCTCTTCAATATAAATGTGTTTTCAATGAACTTGGGTCTGTACAATATTGAATAGCACTTCAGGACCTTGGGATCCTGCAATATCTGCCCTTGAGGGTGGAAGCTATTTTTATATTTGTTCAAAAGACAACTGTAAAAGTATCATGTTTGCTCACGCACTCCCTGCACGCATGCAAGGAGCACGACAAGGACTGGTACATTCTTTTGGCAATTGAGGACTGCAAACGTGATATACTCTGGGAATTCTCATGGCTACATGAATGCTTTGGAATTCATGAAGGAAGACAGGACAGGAAAGTTAATAACAGGTACAAACACATAAACAGTAGAAATCAGTTATATGGGAGCAACAGAAGGTCACCAGAAAGGGTTCAAGAATTTTGGATTTACAGATCTAGATCTATAAATGTTAGTTTCAGGATCAGCATGGGGAAAACTACAAAATATTCTTCAATGGCACTAACTCCAATCTAGTTCAAAACCTTTCTCAGAATATTTGACTAATTAGTGCTTCAGTTTCTTCTTTCCTTTTAGAAGTCTTTAGCAAAAACTTTAGCCAAAGACTGTCTTTAGCCTTTAGTGTCTGTAAATGAAAAAAAAATTAATTGAACCACTAAATTGGCAAGCTTTAAGGGAAATATTTTAGATCTGCTTATCTGATTTTGGAGCAAAGAAGTTACAAATCTTATGGGCCTGGTGATCCCCTTTCTTCCTCTTGCTTTCTTAGGTTTTACTAGAAAACCCATTACCATCAGCACATTTACTATGCCAGCAAGATTGAAATAGCACTCATTCATTCAGTTATGATGGCTTCTGTGATATAATGCCTGGTACAAAAGCATTGATACTTGAGTTTGCTAACTTCAGCTCTCAAAGCCAGTTGTTGTGTTACCAAGGTGGTCATGGAATCTAGTTCTAGTAATAAAATGCCTCTGCATTGCTTTCTGCTCCTGTCAGAAATCAAATATGTAGGAAATTGAATTATCAGAGGGTTAATTAGGAATAAGCCCAGTTTATCTTTCTGCAATTTGTTCTTTTCCCTGACTGATGATCAGTGATTGTCAACTCACAGGAACTGCTGATTTTACTGCCCACATTTCCTATGATATAGTAAAAATTAATTCCTGAGCAAAGTTCTTCCCCATCCCTTATGTTACTGGCACCTATTGTTGGTTTAGCTGTGGTTACCATGTAACCACCATTTACTGTGTCTGCTTTATCTCAGCTGACTGGGAAGACGAGGTTAAACTTGAGTCAGCTTCTTTCATGTACCAGTAAGCAGAAGAGCTCAGAGGAAACCCAACAGGTTACTTAGGTTTCTGGGTCACACAAGTTCTCCCACAGGATCTCTGAAGCCATCACATGCCCAGCCCTAACTCAGGGCTTGCAGACCAGTTTGCCCCAAGTTCCTGCCTTGGAGCTCTGAAATGATAACCTGTCCCTCAACTACCTACAAACAGATTCCAAACCCTCCTTCTTTCCCCTGCCTAAAAACATACAGAGCAACTTCATAAAACCATAAACCATCTTGAAACTAGGAGCTGCTGAAAGACAGCACAGAATTCTCATCAAAAAAGAAGCCAAGTACTGGTTTGCTCACGGCCTCTTAGGGAAGGCAGCCAGGCTACAGAGACTGCACCTCTCCAGGCCAGTGTTTCAGCTTTGTGCCAGACTCCAGTAAGCGCTGACCAAAAACAACTTGCAAAAAAAATTCTATTACACTTAAGATCCATTGCAATCTAAACATCTATTGCTAATGAACTTTAAGAATATTGCATTACTTCCTCACCTTGCTAATTCAAAGCTTACAATTTTTAGTACTGCCATTTGATTATTTTTTTTCCCCACATTTACGTCTTAATAACCTTTCAGGATACCTCTGAGAAATAAACAAAAGTCAACTCTCTGCTCCACTATAACCCTTATACAAATATATGTCAGAAAAAAAAAAAAGAAAACTCCCTATGTGTAAATGCTGTAGAGTCATGAACAAGACAGGCAGACATAATCGGTCAAAAACTTGCACAAATGGTGATTTTGCTAGTGCACTATTAGTAATAATGACCATGCTTTAGTCAGCCACATATTACTAGAAAGGTCAATACTATATAGCATATTTGTTTTTACACACATAAGAACAGATATAATATGTACTCCTTTTAAGCATGAATATAGCATTGAAAAGGCCTCTGGTGCTTCCTTAGTGCTGGAAACTATTATTGCCATGCTGGCATTCATCTTAACAATTTTTAAATTGTTTCATACGGAACTTTGATTATAAAAAAAGACTGAAGACAGTCAGAAGGAAAGCAAGTCTTGAAAGAGGATAGTTACAGAAGTTACAGATGGTCACTTGTAGCTCTAAGATCCAAAAAAGACGAGTATTGTTTCTTAGGCTTCTCTGATTTCCTCTTGACATAAATTCTGAGAAGAAAATTCATGTTTATTGATATTAGCAGCTGGATGACTATACAGCTTTGCTGCTATTTTATAGTGGATCAGTTCCTCAGAAACTTTGACTCCCATTTCTACTTCTCTTTCCCCCCACTTTTTCTTGGTGTTTCATTTGGGTTTGTTTGGGGTTATTTTGGTGGAGAACAATGTGCAGTCCTGGTAATACACCCTCTGTGTGTATAGTGCACTGAGATTTCCCCATGGGTATTTCACATTGTTAAAGCAACCCAAAGCATGTAAAATGTCACATTATCATTTGCTCTGTGGATCAGAACAATATCTGTGCTCTTGCAGTATTGGCAATTTCTCCATGTCCTAGACAAGGTCAGAAGCTCATTACAGCAATCAAATTAAGCAAATAATCAATTTTGTCTGCATCAGCTGCATTTTGCTATAACTTTTCCTTTAGCCCTTCCTCCTCTCAAGCAAAAAATGTTTAAAGCCACTATTTGATGTTAGTCATTATTCCCCCATATCTTACCCTTTCTAGCCACATATTAAAAATACAAGATAATTTGCAAACAACCTCTAGCAACTTCTGAAAATAATCAGCTTGACATCAGCTGAGATGTTATTTTTCACCAGAGTTTAATCAGATTGGATGTGCATAATCATTCAGATGCACAAATCTTCCCTTGTTTTTACAGAAAAAAATGCAATCAAATTATATTTCCAAATAAGTGCTGTATTTTGGATGACTAAGAAAATTGTAAACGTATGTATTTGTTCAATTATAAATGCGTGCCATGTGTCACGATAACATGCACTTTATACATTAAAAGAAAGTGCAGTTGAGTGAGAGAAGGGATAGAAAAGAGGGAGAAATGAGAGAGTGAAAGAAAGAGAATGGGAAAAAAAAAGGAAAAAGAAAAAGGGGAAAAAAAGAGAGAAAGAGAGAGAGAGAAAGAGAGAGAGAGAGAGAGAGAGAGAAAGAAAGAAAGAATTCAAGTGCACACATACTGTCACCCCTGTTCTGTTTATATATCTCTGTCTGCACTAAAAAAAACTACCTGAACTTAAAGAATAAAGACCATATATAACACATATGAACTCACATTACACATAAATAACACTAAGAGGAATGTTTAAATAACTGCTTGCCACATCAGGAATTTGCCTTCTTTTTTAATCTTAACTGTTCAAAGACATTGATTTGAAATAAACTGCAACCATACCTTTCATGGAATAAGAGATCCTTTAGGAGTTTTTCAGTCCATTTCCAGGCAGCAGAGAAAGCAGTGAAACACACAGCTAGCAGGGATCCTGTTCTGTGAATCTTGATCTTTAAAAGAAGTAAGAAAACTAAGCAAGACACAGCTTTTCAACGGGGGCAGCATTTGCAACTCTCTTTGAATAAATGCTCAACTTTTGCAAACTGGAAAAGAGTTCCGTTCAGCATCATCCCCGCAGCTGGCTTCCACGTGACGTCAGTGCACGGAGGATGGTTTTAAAGCCATCTCTTCCAACCCCCAGCTTTGTAACTTTATATCTCCTCATATTTTGTGTAAACAACTCCAACTCCGGGACATTTTTAGGTTTTATAGTGCAGTCCAGTCTTTAAATCTTGCCAAATCAGCTAGTGTTAATATCGAACCTGTGACAATAGGCAGTTTTAGGTTTCTTTTATTGTTGTCTATGCTGTAAAGGAAGATTTTTGCTGTCTTCCAGACCCCATTTTCAGCATTATATTTTTTAGTATGATCATTTTGAGATTTGCAACTTGATCCTCCTTAACTGCTTTGTAAAAGGAGTTTTGTTTAAAGCAGAGGTTTTTCTGGTTAACAGCTATCCTAAAGAGCTAAAAGCAAACTACTCCTCCCTAAAATCCCTTTCTGTATTCTAAATATGCTCTCAGTTATGACATGCAGAATTATTGGGCACTGTGCAATCCTACTGTCTTGCATTCTGGGAATGGCAGTAACGGTTTCTTTGGGATACACTCAAATATTCCTGATACTTTATAGTGTTTCTGGATCAGATTCTACAGTCTGTTAATTCACTTTGTATCTCAGCAAAGCAAAACTCTTGAAATTGGATGAAGAATCTGCCTTGAACAGGGAAACACATCTCTGGCACAAGGCTGGTAAAGAAGGTCCAAAAACACCTTGGGCTGGATATAAATCCCTAGGAGTGTCCACAGCAAGTGTTGGCATGGGATGACAAAAGCATCCAGCAAGCGAAAGTCCACAGGAGAACCTGAAGCCAGAGCAGCAAAATTCAGCTGCTCCCCCTGCTGAGCCGCAGGCAGGAGGAGCCCAGCTCACTCTTCAGGTCTCTGACCACCACGATAATTCCCCCACTGCCCCCTGGGTTAAACTGCTCCCATTGTTTGGCAGCTCCTGAGAGATCCCCGGGGGGAAGCCTCGTAGGCACTGCCCTGCTGGGCACTGGTGCTTGGGTGTGTCTGCACACTGCAGCTGAGACTGGCAGCAAATTCACCTTTCAGGGAATGTTTTGCCCCATGTGTGCCTGGGTAAGGGCCACAAAATACCTGATTGAGGCAGCACAAAACTGGACAAATCGTGCTGTCAGACAGATGTCCTGGAATGCCCTAAGCAGGAACATATTTTTGTGGGCAGTGCAGCTGATGACAAGAGGATCAGTGAGGAAAAGGGCACAATATGAGGATTCGCACATCCTTTGTTTAGTCAGCACTCTCCTCGTTGGAACAGTAAGTTTTTATCTGACAAAATCCATGACAAAATCCAGTATAAAAATTTTAACTCTGGGTGCATTTTATAGTAAATACCAAACCAGGTTTCAGGGAAAACACATTTTTTCTCCTTATATGGTCTAGCTGTAAGTCTCAGCGAGTGCAATAATTGGGTGCTTATTCTGCTCACACGTAACTTAAATAATGGGACTTGGGCTATTTGTGAAAATTGTAAAGATGATCTAAAAATTGAACAAATTTACCCCAAGTACACAACTGAATGTTCCTGAAGAAAATCCCCAGACTCCAAACTCTGAGGATTTAAATCTAAAGAAACAGTATGACTTTCTTTTGTGAGGTTAGGTCTCAAGTGCCAGCTGACATGGCTGGGAGGGAAGCGGAGTGCTTGGGAGCAGAGCTGAGCCCACAGCTGGAGGCCAGGCATCAGCACACTGCCTCCTCCCTGAAGCCAGCACAGCTGCACTACTGCACATGGAGGCAGACTCTTCAGACATGCTTTTTTACTCTTATCCATCAACAGAGGCTATTATTCTTGTGTCATTAATATTGCTAACTCCATGCCTCTTGTCTTGCTATGTGCACTCTTTGAAGTAAAAACAGTAAAAATAAATAAAACAATGGGCTAAATCCCAGGCTTGAGTTCTCAGACAGGCAGAAGCCTTCATTTCTGTCAGTGTGAGGAAGTAGAAATGTGCAAGACTCAGGGGCTTATTAGGAGACAAGCACTGGACACACTTCATAGGTCTAAGGAACACACTAAATTCATCCTTATATGGAAAAGGTGAGACAAAGAAAACATGAAGTGAATTGTAAAAACATGGGATCATTGTCCTATATACCCTTAAGTGTAGCAGTAGAGAATTTTAGCAGTAGAGAATTTCAGGAAATTATTCAATAGAGACTGTCCCAACTGTCCCTCCTCCAGCATCAGCAGACAAAGCAGCAAATTTGGCTTCTTGGTATCTGGCACAGATAAAATAAGCAGGAAGACTACTGTAGGCTTATTACATCCAACATATTGCTTCCACTTTCAAAAAGTATATTCTGTCCATATCTGGTACCATTAATGCTTGGGTCAAAAATCAGCACCTCAAAAAAAAATAAATAAAAAGAAAAAAGAAAAAGATAAAAAAAAAGGTGCAAGGGCATTTTAAACAAGACCTCTGCTAAATTTCTCTGCATCATGCAAGACTGGAGATAAAGCAGCATGAGTTTCAGCATGAGCTATGATCTGATGATATACTCAGAGCAGTGGCTGATGAAATCTACTGAAGACTACTTCAGGGTATCTTTGGCTGTGCTGCCCCAGCTTGGTTATGGCACACCCATTCTGCTATGGCCACAAAAGCTAGTGACAAGAAAGAAGAAGAGCACTGCTCTAAATCTAGTTTAGATTCCTGAATGATGTACGCCTTGATAATCCTGGTATATACACCTTGGGAGTGGCTGTATACAATGGGAAACGGGCAGAAGGGAATACAAACTCTGTCTCCTTTTTCTGTTGTGTGCTTCTGCAATAGCATATAACTCAGTGGAGAGGCAGAGCCAGCAAAGTGTTATGTCATGTTGCTGCTCCAAGGTTACATTGGAAATCGGTGGCAGATACTTTAGATGTTTACTTTAAATAGAGCCACCGTAATTTTCCCCATAGGCAACTGCATGTGTAATGGCAAAAGTTGGATTTGAATATCACTTCCCCTGGCATTAAATCAGAGACAGAAATGTAAGCCAATGGGAACTACGTCCCTGATACTGATGCCTTTAGAAGTCTCCTACTCACCTATCAGATTCTGGGGTGACTAAGGAGAAGGGCATGTAATACCCTGAAGCTCTGCTTGTTTTCGTAAACAACTCCTGAAGTTCATGTGCAGTTCATCTCTTTTTATAACACATATCTAGACAGCCATGTTTTTGGCAATTTTCTATTTTCCAACTGCCAGGCATGTTTCTGCACTACAGCACCTGCTCACTTCTAGTTTTGATTCTGAAGCACTGGTGACATGTGTCAGCAGACACTTATTCTATCTCTCAACTGGAGCTTCAGGCATGGATATTTTTGGTTGAAAGAAGTATTTCCGAGCCTGGAGAAAATGGTCATTTTAACATAATGGGAATTTTTCAGTAGCAGTAAGAGAGAATATCTGTAGAGGGATTTTGTCAGGGCATTCAGGAAACTAATTTAATTGAACTTTTCTGGTAGCATTAAAGGAAAAAATGCACCTATTCCCTAAATTACATAAAAATTCACTGGAGATGGTGCCAATTTCCACAAGTGAAACAATATCATAATTAGATCTACAGAAGGAAGATCTTTTCCTTTTGAAAGAATACTGAATAAATCCCCTGGGAGCATAGGAAACAGAAATTTAATATATCAGGGAAGTGCTAAATGAAGGCAATTTCACGGTTCAAATTCAATGGCTTTTTTTCCCCTGGAACATTAATACTTCACCAGAATATTCCAAAATGGGAGCTGTAAATCTGCTAAATGAGATTTCAACTGATAGGTAACCTGGCATATCCAGCTCCTTGCCACATGCAAACAAAACCTGTATTCTTCTTACTGTTTGTCTTCAGAACTCCGAGCGGTGCAGCCGGCGGAATCAGTGAATGAGCAGTGCCCTGCCTGACTCCAGTGCACTCCTGCCAGAGGATGCTGATGTGTTCAGCTGCCTTTGCTCACTCACCTGTGAGATGGTCTTCACTCACCAGGCCAGTTACTCAGTGGGGAGAATCTGCTTTCTTTCTTGGCAAGTATAATTACTGCATTTCGTAATATCAAGTTATTTCAATTTAGCAAGACATAGAACACTTATTTCTTTGGCTAGATCTTATCTTCTGGCTATGGATAAATGGCCATACTCATTCTGTTAGCTTTCTCAGCATCTTTTAAAGTTGTGCAATATCTGGCATGAAACAGACCAGCAGCTCAAATCACTCCCTTCAATCTGAATGCAAAAGGACAAGAAATACACATCTCATTTCTCCCTGAGATTTCTCTGTGAGGCTCCTCACCATTCTCCTTGCTCATGAGAGATTCAAAGACCGTGCAGAGCTTCTAAAATAATTTTGTATGCTTTAGTGTGCTTTAATTTCAGACTGCTGCTTGTGCAATAGCTCCCTAAATGCCCCTAAAGGTCTCAGCTTTGATTTTGCTTTGTTGATGCCTGATGGAAATCTCCAGCTTTTATTCAAGAAAAAATACAGTGAGAAATCAAGGGGGATGTAATCGCCCGTGCTGTGCAGAGATTAACCCCACCTCTCATCGCAGTAATTCATTCTTACATTTTCTGATTTCTGAGAAAGACACAAATCTTTCCCAATTAATTTCCAAGATTTATTCAATGTATGAATTCAGTGTATTACTACATTAGAGTATTACTGATACACTCTCTGTAAATCAAACCTTCTCCACTCATTATTATTGCATACAACACCAAGAAAGGTATAAGCAAGTGTGGGTTAAAAACTAGAAGCCCAGAACTTCAGATCTTAGATTAAGTATGACTTTTTCTCTCTTATGGAAATTGAGTCAGTAGCATTTAAGAAAACACAAATGATTGGTTTTTCCTCCACAGGAGATACTAAAACAGAAAGAAACTGAAAAAGTTTGTGCTAAGATTTGGTATGACAAGTTTAAGCCTCAAATTTTTGTATTTTTAATGTGCGAATTGCAAATTCATGGGGAGAAAAAAAACCTCTAGTATTTCCAGCAGCTGCTGAAAAACAAAAGGCCTTTTCCAGTTACAGAAATTCACTGTGAGTTATGGCTTGATCATATCTTGCCATAATAGTTTTTAATATGTGGAACTTAATTTTAGGTAACTGCATAAATTATAGCATCTTAGAAACTCCTCAGAATTACTTTGGGCCTGACTTTATCCTTTGCTAGGAAAGTAGTCAAAACTATCTATTAATCTCACATATATTGATTATAATTTCCTTTATACATCTCCCTAACTATAACATGGATAATGATGACAACATCCCCTAGTAGGAATAAGTATTTGGATTAAATCAAGGAGTTGAGTGATTTAGCTGATCAAGGTCACTACACCTGCAGAGCGTGTTGAGGGAAAGCTAGACAAAGAAAAATACTGTACTTTTTAATAATTAATATTTTTACTATTTTTTTCACTCACGTGACAAAAATTTTATTGCCCCATCTCTTGCTGCTCTCTCAGGATTTTCCCTCAAAAATGGTGTCTCAGCTATTTCAGGTAGCAGAGCATAACCTAGGCATGGAGATGAACTGTTCTCACTGGGGAATGCATTAAGTGAACAGAGAGCTAACATGATAAATCAAAGGTAATCCTTACCACTAGCTAGAAAAACAGCTGCTTTATTTATTTCCACTCTTTACCACTACATTATTCAATGTGTAAACAGCAGAAAAAGAAGTGTCATTAATACACATACTTGTTCACCTTTTGAGAATTCGTATTTGTGGGACTCAGTGGTTTCAGCATGGGTTGAATGAAACAGAAAAGTGAGCTCCACTGGGCATTTCAGATGAGGTTTTCCTAGTTTGAGACCTACTGCTTGTAGGAACTGCTAAGTAAGAGTGAAAGAAAGAAATTTGTCAACTGTACTCTTACTTCAGCCTCTCCCAGGAGAGAAAGGAATATTCAGTGACTACTGATGCACACGCATGTACAGAAGCTTCCCTCACTACGGGCATTGGCTACCAATGGCACGGTTAGACAGGGGTCACTCAGCAAACCAAGAGTTGCTATGTCCATTTAAAAGTCCTGCTCCAATCTGGGGATGTAGCATGGCCATTTCTCTGGAGCACAGAGAATGCAGCCAGCCTATATCTCTCAGAAGACTCCTCAGCTACTCTGATACCTTCTCCTCATGCATTCTCATTCTCAGAGGCTCCAGCTCCTGGCCACCATTGCAGATATAGTGCTCTATACACCAGCTATTTTTGACTGGGGCCTAATACACATAATACAGTGCTGAAAAACATTATCATCACCGTATTATGCAAAATATACATACAAGCTCTGATATAAAACTGCAGAATACACACACAACGTGGCATTACCATTCATATGTGGCTGGAATACAAATTCTTTTTCTAGGAGTGAGAAGAGGAAAGTAACAGAGTCCTCACACCCACTCTGCATTTTTCTGGTTTGTTTCTGATTTGGTGCAAATTAAAGAAGATTAAATTGGTTCCAGTCCTCAGGAAATTATTATTCAAAAATTATGAAACCAGACAAAGTAAAAGACTCCATTTTCTGCTTGCTTACCTGGAATACTACGGTGAGCAGGTTTCCTATTCAACTGGGTGACTTTTTGGTATGTTTTTTTGCAGTTCTTTTGGTTTGGCTTTGGTTTTGGCAAACAAGTAGTCTTCAGTGTTTTTACAGCAGTGGCTATTACAGAAACTATGTCTCTTGCAGTTCTTATCTTGGAGGGTGGACAAAATAAACAAACTGAAAATAACACTACAATGAACAGTAAATGATGAATGACTTACAGTACAAAAAACAGTGTAAAAAGGAAGACAAGTTTAAATATTGTTGTGTATGAAAGGGATGAAAATAATACAAGGATGAGAATAAGTAAAATGATAGGCTGGAACATCTGGGAAAGTAAATACAAAGACAAAGAGAACAGTCAATTAATGGAATAGCAAGTCCAAAGTTTCAACAAAATAAATAGTGAATCAGAATATGCTTGTGGAGGGACCAAGTGCCCATCTCCCATTTACTTCAGTAGGAGTTCTGCATGGTCAAGCCTTGAAATGTCCAATTGTTAAATGTTCAATTTTATTATTTGTTTAGAGAAAATATAAATTAGTTTGTTTGAAATTTGTGTAGGTCCATGCAGTGCTCTGCGTTTAAGCCAATGGGAGCTCTACAAGCTCAGAACTAGTGCTAGATCAGAAAGTGAGCATGCTAAGTGCCGTCTCTGTTTGATTTCATGCAATACATGTATAGTAATTGATTAGCTTTAAACTCACTGCGTCTGTGACTTTCTGATACAAGGAAACAAAAGACTAATTAGTCAGCATAGGAATAAGAATAGCTTTCAGCTTCACCTGGCAACTACTTCAACTGTAAACTAGCAAGACAGCACAAAGTAAATTACCACAGCAAGAGACTTACAAAACATTGGATAACTTCATTAGCAATAACAAGATATGCCAACTATAGGATTGCATGATAAGATAAGGGTAGGTAATTTTCATTTTTCATGGCAAAAGATCTTGAGTCAGCAAGGAGTTTGCTCCCCAAAACCTCTCTGAAACAATTCTGCGCAAAAACAAACCACAACAGAGATGCTTGTTACTGCTGCATGCAAGCAATGATTAACAGGCCTTCAACAAGATGCAATCTATTACAGTAACTACAATATTCACATTACGTGTGGCTCTGTGTCTCTATAAAGTAGATTTATATGGTTTCTTTTAATCTGTGGTTTGCCATATTCTCTACAGTTTTTGAAATTTAGTATTTCCTCCTGTTTAAAATTAATAAAATTTCCCTTTTATCCATTTAATAGGAACCCATCCACTAAGAAAACAATCATGTTCATAAGCACCAAAAATACCGTTTGCACTGCCTTTAGTGGCAATGAAGGCCCAACTCTGTCAAATGCAATTGCAAAGCCAAAAAGGAGTAAAATGTTCTGTCTCCAAGAGCATAATTTTAATTTTCAGGAGACCAGATTTATTCACTGTTCACAAATAGCTCTATTGGTAGAGTATGTTTTCATATGGCCAAATAAGAATTTCACGTAATATAGGAAACAGTGATTTTTGTTCACTGCCTAGAATAAAGAATTTTCTTTTTGTGCCATAGATCAAATTTGAGGTTTAATTTGCTTGGCAGAGCCTTTTTACCTGTAGGCCGTAATAAGTAAAAGTCTACCTGACTCACTGACAAAGGTTCATCTGCACTTCGATCGTCCGAAGTCTTTGGAACTTCCAGTCTGTCGATGAAAGCCTGGAGCTCCTTCCTGAAGGCCTTCATCTGCGCGTTGATGCGGTACAGGAGCTCGTGCTCACGTATCCTGCTGCCATCGTCCTCCTCGTCCATCAGCCCAAAGAGGTCTCCGTTGGCCACATAAATTCTTGCCTCTGTGATGATGGTGCTCGTGTCGGAAATGAGGCGGTCTATTGTCTTGCCCAGCCGCTCGGCTTCGGAGCGAATGTCCTTCATCTGCTGCCTGTCAGTGAAGCTCTTCTGCCACCCCGACGGCGTTGGATAAAAAGACCTGGTGGGCGTCAGGCACCGGATGTTGCGCACCTCTTCAGAGTCGCTTTCCCCGCCGATGGGACCTTCCCTTTTGCGGTGAGGGGGACGGGAATCATCATCGCTCTCCTTTTTTCCCGCATCGCTTTCCGCGTCGCTGTCTCTGGGGCTGCCACGGATCCCCAGGTGAGAGGCCAGGTCGTAGCGCTGCATGTTGGACATCAGCACTCTGTTCTCATACTGGAGCTGCATGACTTTTCCACTCAGCTCGTTGATCTGCATTCGTGCAGCTTTTAGCTCCTCCTGTAACGCTTCCGTCTTGGCATTGTCATGGTGCCTGGAGCTCTCATGGGCCCCAGACTTGTACTTGTATTTGTTCAGCTCAGCTGTTATGCGCTTGTTTTGTTCTTCTAAATCAGCTACATTTCTCCTCAGCAATTCTGTTTCATCTTCTACCAGCTGCAAATGCTGTCGTAATTCTGACAGGGATTCATTCTGCTCTCCCAGGAGTGGGTTAGTGGTCCCTGAGAAATCATCTCCTCTTAAATCATCGAGCTCTGCTTTCAGTCCTCTATTTTCTACTTCCAGTTCAACTATTTTCCTCCCAAGAATGTTAGCTTCCTCCTCCACAAGCCTCAATCGAAGCTTGAGTTCAGCTTCTCTTGTGGTAGGTGGCCCACCTGCTTCACCTTTTGGCAAGGGACTGTCCAAATCCCCATAAAATGATCTGTATTTTTGCAGCTCGTGTTCAAATCTGTCTTTCTCTTTATCAATTTTAGCCATTTTCTTCCTCATCAAGGCTGCTTCTTCTTTGACAAACTGTAGCTGGCACTTCAGGTCTTCATTGTCATCCTTAGGAAAAAAAGCAGTATTTGAACAAACTTGAAATCAAACAGGAGACCTCCAGTGGGATTGTCTTAATTTACATTATCATAGGTACATGGCTTTAGATACTAAGATATTTTTCTGCAATATTTTTTCACTGATCAATAAATTAAAAAGAGGGGAAGATACTGTTTTACTTGTGACTAAAATTTGCACAGTCGCCAGAAGTACCTTAGAGGGTTGGAAAAGGGGGGCTTGTAAAAAACCTTATATTTTCTTTGCTTACAACATTATCAGACTTTACGGTGCTCAAAAATCCTGAAGTCAGCACAAATAGAGCTGATAAATCTTGTTTCACTGCTGCTGCCATTTGCTTTGCCTGAAATTCAGAGTAGGTGGAAGCTGATGGGTTCTGTTGCAGCACCAAGTTTGTTTAGGGAGTCGTTGAGATTAGTGGTGCCTGACTGCAGATCTGGGGTAAGAGCTCTTCCATTTCACAGCACATAGGAAAACAAAGGGCAAAGCAAAAAGCAAGCCAAGTGCAAATACGTAAACCATGTACCCCATTTCCACAGTTCCCTGAAGTCTCCACGTAGGAATCAAGGCTACAGTTACTTGCAACATACCTCTGTTGGTGTCTGCTGTGACTTTTTTTCTGATTTTGGTAGGTCTTTGCTTCCTCTCCTCTTCAGTGATTGCTGCAATTACAACAAAAGGACATGCAGTGATTTTTTTCTAAAGATATACTAAAGATGTATATAATTTGTATATCATTAATTTTTAAAATAGAGCAAATCAAATGCAACTATACAGGAATTAATTTCTCGTAATTTTTGAGATACCAAGTACAGAGGAAAGATATATATTTTATATATATATATATACATACCCAGCCCAAATATGAAACAGCAATGGCACACAAATAAGGTTTTAGTATTATCAGTCCGTTACATTTTTTATTCAACACATTTTGAGACTAGTGCATTATGAATGTTTAATACAAGACAGGAGTGGTAAGATAATGAGCCTCCCAAGTGGTAACTTACAAATGGGAAAGGTGAGACAAACAGTGAAACCCAGCTCCCCCATTTGATATTAACCCTGTTGCGTCCAGGGCGCTTCAAAAAAGCCTTAGTCTTAGACTTTCTACACAAAACAGCGTCACTAAGATCTGTGGGCATCTACAACCACACCTTTCTCTGTGTCCACCCTCAGGCTTCAAGCTTGCAATGCACTGCAGTCACACTTCCCTAAGTGTACACTAGGGACAGACTCACACATAGCTCTGGTCACTAGGTTTGTTCTGTTTTCAGATCATATTCAAGTAAATGCCATTTAAAACCGCTTGGACTACAAAATTCTAAAAAGAAACAAATCATACCAGCCCAAGAACAGAAACACACAAAACACACAGACACAGGTTAGCACCACCATATGAGTGAGATTCTTTGGTGTCCTCTCATCTGCTATATAGCCCAAGAGAGTAAAAAGGAAACTCCTGCTTTCAGAACAGGATGCACTGGGATTGAAGCCAGCTAATGTATCCAGCAAAAATCTTGTAGGTGCTGACAGCAGAAACTTCGTTAAGGAAAAACAGCAGCAGTGGAAAACAACTGCCACCATCCCACTGGCAACACTCAATAGTGATCATCAAGAAAACAGCAGGAGAGAGGCACACGAATGAGAGAATATGTTAATACATAACACCCCACTTGCAGCTGTTCCCAGTTTTTATGTTCCCCAGGTAAACTGTAGGCTGCAAGGCAGGACAGGGATAACCAACACCATCTCCTTCTGAGACTGTGCTCTGGTAGAAACATCCTGTGAGAAACATACTGTTCTCTGCACCAGCTGGGGGAGAATCCACCTAAAAGCTGTCCAGTTCCACAGACTGGGAAGTAAAATATGTTCATAATTCTCAAGGAATAGAGTACAGTGGGTGGGTATGCTGCACACAACAATCCTGTGCACCATTTGCCTGCTGGTACTAATCATCCTCTTTCTTCTGCAGATCAACTCTATTAAAAACTCCTACACTCATGGACTGCTCACTAAAAAGGAAAAGTTAATGCTACAGAAAGACCCACACATAAATAAAATTTTTACGTCTCTTGTGCAAACATTGACTGCTCTCAGTAGACCAAACAAAAAAACAAATCAAAGATCATACCTAGATAGCTGGATAGCTGTAAAACACAGGCTTCTAATGGAATCCAGAAAAGACATGAAAATAGTTCAATTAACTCATTTATCCCTTTCAGTATAAACCCAGCAAATCTGGAATCTAGTATACAAACAAAATGGTTCTTTTCCAGAGTCACCCACATGTTATCCTGTTGTAGAAATGGTGCATGGATTTTTGAAAGGGTTGTTCTGTTGTTTTCTGTTAGAATTGAAAAGTTTATAAAGCCCTAAACTTCCAAAGGAGTAGGTTCCTCCTCTGTGTTACCATTAATTATACTACTATGTATCACCACTTTGTAAAAACCCTTTTCAAATCAGTTTACAATGCAAGCTTTTCCTTGCCCTGTATTTATGCCAATACCACTCACTGATAGTAATAATATTAAATAAACAAACAAACAAACAAACAAACAAATAAATAAATAAGCTATAGCTAAACTATATTTCTGCTTTATTACCTAAGTGCCTTTTGCTCACCCTGTTGAGCTCAGCATCTCTCCAGAAATAATGAAGTTCTGAAATGCTGGGCTGAAACTTCTTTTGTACCCTGTAACTTTTCAGAAGATAAGAGATATGAGAAAAAGTACTTTTATAGGTTTGATGTGCAACACAACCCCCTTGTTCTTCTCCTTTCTTGTTCTATTTTTTTGGTGGTCCTCTCAGTAGCCAGGATAGCAGCATTCAAATTACAACAGTAGTTGTGGCTATGTAATGATTAGGCACTACTTTCTGTTCTGCTCTATCTGAATTAGAGCTAACTCTCTAGAGCTTGTATTGTTCACCAGCAAAATCCCAGCATTTACCAAAAAATTTATAGCAGAAAGCAATGAAGAACATGCACAATTCAATTAGCAGGGTGATATGGGTAAGCAGATTAGGCCCAGCTGGAATTGGTATGATCTCTTTTCATATGAAAAACACCATGAGACAATTTCTGATCACTAGAGGTTAAGATCTCACACATCTCAGCTGACAGAAAATATCCTCACTATCACAGTGTCCTACAACATCAAGTCAGGGTACTGATGCAATGGCAATATTACACTAAACAAAGAATGCCACATATCAAGAAGTATATTCTGCTATAAATATTAAATTTTTGCTATAAATATTAAATTTTTGAGAGTTGCTTCCAGATGTGCATTTCACAATTTACAGTAGCTACTCTATCAGTTCTCTCAAGCTTTGTACTACTGAAGTCTTCCAGTTCGATTTTCAACATGAAAAAAATTATTGCTGCTAATGAAATAAGCAATGAAATTCATCACAGAGAAATGGAAAAAAGAAAAAAATGTTCAAACTAACATATGGCAGAATGAAAAAATAGCAACTCAGACTCCTGCATGCAAATCTTCATACTAAACTGAGACTGGACATTACTAAAATTGTCTGTACGTTGCTTGTCACTAAAAGCCACCTCTGCTGCTTTCTCAATTGTAGCAAAAAATCTGCCCTTCATATGCTAGAATTGTTGTTGTGAAGGAGAGTTTGTGGGCTCAGATAAATTTTTTTTCCATATAATTAAAAAAATTCTACTCAGAAGTGTCCACAGCCAGGAGAAGACTGCAGATGAGGTTTGTATTAGATGCAAACCAGATCACACGCTAAGGGCAATTCTGCTGTGGTGCTCAGCAGCATCAGTTCTTCAGTGACTTTCACTGGAGTTTATCCAATGTCTTGCTGGAGATGCTAAGCACTTCTCAAGATGGCATAATCCTTCTCTTGCCAGCCCTAAATTGCAGGCCAAATGTGCAGCCCTAACATCACCTGTCATGCTCAGTGCTTCTCAGGTGGAAAGAGGTCTGAAATCTACTCTGAGAATAACACAGACATAATTTCATCACACTCTATCAAGTAGTAAGGCTATAAAATGAGCTCAAATTCTTCCTGCCTTATTCTAAACTACAACAGATGTCTTGGGAATTAATAAAGAATCCTGAAGCAAAATCTACTGAGATTTTTCAAGATGCTTAGGTTTGATTATTTCAAGCCTGATCTAGGGGAATATTATCTAAAAGTCATGGTAGGCAAGCATGGGAGGAATTCCTGACACATCAAGGGATTTATGCATGCAGAGACCCCACAACAGCATTTTTTCCTCCTCACAGAACAGGGCAAAGGGTGTGCAGCTCCACAGCTACCACAAACCTTCTCATCTGCACAGAACTGTGCTGTACTTGGCTACGGTTAGCTGACTCCCAACTGCTGTGACACACCTGCAGTGCTTTTGAAAATCAGAGTAAGCCCAACACTCTACACTTTACAGTCTTGAAAAGCCAATAAATACTAAAACATTTTTGGGCTGCACAAACTTGTGCCCCTCTGTGGCACAGAGTGACTATCACCAGGGAAATGTAAATTTGCCCTAAGCCTCTCTCTGCACTTTCCCTTTAATCAATATGTCTGTGTAACTCATGGAACTGGATCAAATCAGACACAAGACAGATTTTTTAGTTTTCTGCCACTGGGTCTAACGTAATAAAAACTAAATTGGCACTATCTGTGTTGGCAAATTGAAAATTTATATTCTCTAACAATAACAACAACAACAACAACAAATCTTTGTTTTTAAAATGTCTTTCTTATTCTGCAATTTGTGCAGAATAAGTCTTAGTGCAATTTGCCAGCTCAAGACCCTGGTTTTGTCTGTCATTAGCACGAGCACACAGAATGATACAATACTTTACTCCTTCCACCACCATTCAAGAGCAGAAGTCTTGAATATTTCTGTACTCTACTTGCTAGCAAAAATAAACCACAAATGAAAAAGCAGAGGATAACTGAAATGCAAAAAGCACAGTCTACCTGTCCACAAAGCAAACACTAAGCATATCCCTATTAGCTGTACCAACACTCTTTTCATATTTAAACTGCCTTGTTTCAAAAACACTGCTGAGGAGCAATACAAAATTTAAAAAATGTTCACTAGAGAAATAAAAACAGTTCTCATGTAGTTGAATGACTTCATATTGTAGAAAAGAGGAGCTGACCTCCAATACTTGTATGATTTCATTTGCATTTATTTAGGAGTTATCTCAGTTATCACTTTCAGATCCTTTACCATTATTTATTTATCAATTAAATAAGAAAAAATACAAAAGAAGGGAAAAAGATATGCAATATTTGCACCTTATCTAGAGAAATGTTTTGCAGTTTGAACTAAAACCACATTGTTAGAGCATATCATAGTAACTATTGTGGTATAACTAGGTAAAAGCTTTCTTTGCAGTGCATAACTGAAGCAGCATATTTATGCTTTCATGACATTTGCTTCCTTCTTTTCCTTATTCAAAAAAATTACACTAGATGAAAGCCACCTTTTCAAAGCTCTCACTACATCCTGGTCAAAGAGCCATCCAAATTGATACTTTGCTTTCTGTGATTACACACTCCTTCATCCACCAGGATATCACAAAACAGTGAAAGCAATTTCTCTGAGGAGGAAGAGATCTGCCATTTGAACCTTTCAAAGCATGGAAGAGCTAGACATGGTTATTTCCCCAGTGCTATCCAG